ACAAATTCTATTGAGTTGATATTGAACTGCGGTGCAACTTTAGATACAAATTTTAATTTATTTGCGTCGGGTGGAAAGTGTACAACAAGCAGTGTCTTTGATACTAACGAATCGGGAGTACGAGAGAAATATTACGGGGGTGCCTCAAAGTCGCTGAGTCAAGAAATGAGAAATTTGAAACAAGCTGATCTATTTTCTCTGGTTTCTGGAGTGTTCTGCACCCGGTATTCACACAAAAGAACGTTGTTCAACTCCAGTGTGGCGATGCTTCCTAATTTCATTTAATTTATCGCGTATCGACGTTCAGATTCAGGACTTAAAACCACCAGCATGATCACAAAACAGTTGGGGACAATATAGACGCTCTTGAAAGTGGTAATACCCCGCGAAGCTGATGGCGACATTGGTAACCATAATGAAGTTGATGAAGAAACCAAAACCATGGTGATGATACTGACGGTGATGACGATAGTGAGGGAAACAATGATGATGGTGACCGTGATGATAATGTGGACGATAACGTTGTCAGTACTGGTGATTTTGTTGAAGGTGATAATAACGATGGTGGCGGTAAAACACCAATCACTTAGCATGCTTTGTTGTTGTCACACCACTGATCCTTTCACATCTGAACTCGAAACAGGCTACCGATTTCGTCGAAGACCTCTTCCTCGAATGTGTCCATGATTACCTCAACATGGAAACGAACGACGGGAACAGTCTTGTTGTCGGTTTTATATCACCCGCTGTAAGTGATAATGTTGCTTTTGAAGGCTATCATCCTACGTTATTCGTCATGCATTGCTGTGGGTTACTTATTCACTTTTAGGATTCTTGCTTGGTGTTACAAGTGGACTGAATAACTTGTAACTTAGTTGATATACATGGACCCGTATTCTCCTGAGTAAGATGCAGTTAAAGTTGGAAACATTAGGGGCCTTTGGCCTGTTTCATTGGAAATGTCAGAAGATGCGTGTTTCGAACAGCTGACATTGATCGATAGCAGACCTAAGAATTCTATTCTATCGTGACACAGTAACAACTAACTAACTATCTCAAACGACACGTTGGCCTGAGAGCATTTGAAGAGCTTCAATCAATAGCTTTTATTTTATCTGCTTCGCCGTTTCGTCTGGTGAATGTAGGGCCAGCAAAGTGGCCTACTTGAAAAAGATGCTTGGCGGTCAATGATCCCCAGTTCGATCTGACAGTTAATGGCGTTTACTTGTACATCCACAAGGACGGCGGCAATTGATATGGAATATTTTCTGAGACCCTTCGAAAAAGTTGAGTCAGTTATGGCAAGGTAAGTGCCACCAAATTCTCAAGAATTCAGAGATAACAAGCGAGGCAGCTTGGTGTAACCAACTCTGGATCGATTTGGAAACATAATTCTTATATCCTAGTGCTGTTTCTGCTCCAGTGAATTACCGCCGGCAAGAGACTCGCCAACAAGGAACAAGCGAGCAAGCGAGTGCAAATGTTACA